TATATCAAACAATATATAATTAGCAACATCATATTATTCAACTTTATAAATTTTTGTTTAGCTAACATTGCAGCAAATTATGAAATATAAGTTGTAGTTTTTTTTTTTTAATTTTTTTCGTATGATATTGTTAATTAATGATCTGTAAATGTTAAATTTTATGTTAATAAATGCATAAAAATGTTATATAACTCACCCCGCAACAACGTACGGGATATATGTTAGTATATACCTATACAACGAACATTATAAAATTTATTGACGGTTACTTTTAAATTTCATGAAAATCTATCCATTTAAATTTAAAAAATTTAAAGAACTTTTTTTCAAAATCTAAATTAAATTTAAACAATTCTATTTTATATAAAGTGTCAATTTATTTAAACACGTAAAAAGTAAAAAGCTCACAACATTCTATCATGGAGAACCGAGATTTTTTAAAAGGACACTAGTCACTTTCTCACGCTACATTGCGAGATCGATTAAAAAAAATCATTTTAAAATTTTTTAATTATAATTTTTTATTCACTTAATTTTTGTAAATTTTTTATAAATTTTTTGGTTAAAAAAATATAAATCATTCTTCTTTATGGATTTATTTTAAAATAAAAAATATAATAATTTTAACTAATATATTAATTAAGAATAAAAAAATTAAAATATAATTTTTATAATATTGTATTCCAAAAAATAAAGTTATAATAAATGGATAGACTTTTACAAAAATTAACAAATGAGAAAAAAAATTCTTATTTGATGTTGATGAGAAGATTAATTTTTAAAATCATTTGTGCAACGCTACGGGTAGATAGAACACCTAATTAAATAAAAAAACATAAATTTATGAAAATTATAAAAAGAACACCTAAGTAAAAAAAAAAAAAAGAATATATCATATAAATATAAAAAATATCGTGTATATTATATAATAGTCAGTTTGTTTTAAAAAAATCAATGATTGATTTTTCAAATTTTTAACACCTCATTAAATTAAAAAAATGAACATAAGTTGATGAAAAAAGCAAAATTGATTTTTTAAAATAACATAAATTGATGAAAAAAGCAAAAGAAAAAAATCATGTGTAGTGCATCGGTTAGGGGATTAAAATTTTTATTTTAAAAGTTTAGAGATCAAAATAAAATAAACCTAAAAATTTTAAAAAAATGACATTAAAAAAGAACCTAAATTGATGTAAAAAAAAAAAAAAGCAAAGGGGAAAAAACATGTATAGTGAAAGCAAACTTAAAAAAGAAAAAAAAAAAGAAAAAACACTTGCTACAGGAATAGTGAAACCAAAGCACTTAAAAAAAAAGTGTTTGTAAAAAGTTGAAGAAAGACACGCAAAGGGGAAAAAATTGAAAGCTAGCTGGAAAAATTTTTGCTTGTAAAGTGCTTTAGAGTGAAAAAAAGAAAAAGAAAAAAGAAGGGACCGACTAGATAACACCGTTTATTGAATAGTGAAAAGAATAATAACGAGTGAACGAGTAAAACATCATTGTGTTTTAGAGTATAAGAACTACAAAGTGAAACTTGAAAACAAATTGATGATGCCTTTGATTTGAGTCTGATCCTCGATCTTGAAAATTTGTAATCACAGAGTACAATCGAAATTAGGTTTTTGATTGTTTTTTCCAATGATCCGATCAATAATTCTTTATATATTAACAATAGTATTTATTGTTTTATGTGTATTATTGTATTATTACTTTTATATATACCTCATTTTTTTTTACTTTTTCTTTGAGTTTATTTTAAATATGCATGCTTCTTAAGAATATTATTGTTTTTTATTACAAAGGGTTATATATATACTTATATAGTGAATATTATAAAATTTCTTGACAATTGCTTCTATGGTTGTTTTTTCTTATAGATTACAAACTCTTTTTTGCTTGTTTAAATTATTGATGTTTTAAATTCCATGAAAATCTATCCTTTTAAATTTAAAAAATGTTAAAGAACGTTTTCATAAAATCCAAACTAAATTTAAACGATTATATTTTATATAGAATGTCAGTTTATCCAAACACATAAAACGTAAAACACTCACAAACTACGAAGTGAAACTTGAAAACAAATTGATGATGCCTTTTATTTGAGTATGATCCTCTATCTTGAAATTTTGTAATCACAAAATATAATAGAAAGTAGGTTTTTGATTAATTTTTTCAACGATTAGATCAATAATTCTTTATATGTTAACAATAATATTTATTGGTTTGTATGTGTTATTTTATTATTACTTTTATGTATATCTTTTTTGTTCTTATCTTTTCTTTTGAGTCTATTTTAAATATGCATGCTTGTTAAGAACATAATTGTTTTTTTCATTACAAAGGGTGATATATACCTATACAACAAGGCAAATTAAGAAAATATTGGAGAGCAAATATGTTATTTTTGAAAATTCAAATATTTACCTGGCATGAAAATCTGAAATTTTACAAAATAAATTTGAAGATTTTAAAAACTTCAATCGAACATGGCACCCAAGGCATGCTATGCTATGGCAAAATCTTTACTTTAATACCCTGCTCCCAAATTATTAATCAAATTAGAACAATCAACAAGTCACGAAAAATGAAAGAAAAGCAAGCCTGGGCACATGGGGGGCTATGATGGACGATATCCCATCAATCAATACTGATGATTTATTTTCACAACATGACCTGTTTTACCTTAATCGCACTACCAGACCTAAAACTTCTTCCGTCCATTTTTTCTTATCAACAGTATCACACTCATGATGACAAGAATCACGGCATCAAAATCAACAGAACGACGCATCGTATTTTTTTCTTGCACAATAATCAAATTCAATAACCTACGTAACATGATAATTGTTTCAACTTTGATAAAATAAACAGAGAATCCAAAAAACAAAAAAACGGTACTGATTAAACAAACACAAGGCACACAACACACCCATCGAAACTAAAATTGGGGTCAATATCAGCTTCGAATTTAACAAAACATGGAAGGTGGAAACCTATCCAAATTTGGGTAAAGGACGGCAAAATTTAATAGAAAGGGAAAAAGTGAGTGCTTGAAACGTGTCTAGGCTCAAGGAACGAGAGGGGAGAGCACCTTCAGCTCCACGTCAGTGTATACACACGTGTCTGCTAATACGGTTACCAAACATAAGATATTCCGCAAAGTGGCGAGTCCATCGATGTTGACGTGCTGTTCTTTACGTGTCTATATCTCCCTCGTTACGTTGACGCTTTCACAGCACGACTGGAACGACCAGAAGAGAACGATTGCACCAGATTGATCACTGCTCAATACACCATACCGCGCGTTCTCTCACGCTCCATCAGACAAGAGCAGCCGAGAAAGAAGACGAGACTCATCTCCCAACGCTGTATTTATCCCTGTTCTGATAAAGCAGTAATTATCAAAAGTTTAAATAATAATGATGACACAATAAAAAGGACTCTCTGAATTACATTCAGCAACTCATCATTATCAAAAAGCATGTGCATATCAAATACAAATCGTAACACAAAATCATATATGCATATACTGATTCAGAGAATACATGCAAACCCCTGTTAATAGGATCGAAAATGGTTGATTACATCATGATATCATTTTAAACAATAAAAAAATTTTAAAGATAATTTTTTTAAAAAAAATAAATAATATAAATATCTACTGAAATAAAGTATTTAATTTTTTCCTTCCTTATATCCTTTAAAAAAATATTAATCTTTTAAAATTATGATGATTTTTTTACATCACTGATGTCATGTAGCATTATTTTAATAAGATTTATTAATCTCTCAATCTCATTATTTTATTGATCATTTTGACTTTTTAAAGGTCTAGGTATAATTTTTACTATTTTTTCTTCAATTAGGATAAATAATGAGCAAAAATAGTTACAAAAAAATATATATGATTTTTAAACTTCTAAAACTTGATTTTAAAATTTTAAGTAAATAACACTGATAAATAAGCTGATAAAAACTAATTGTTGTTAACCTTTTTGAAATTGATAAATGCAAATAAATATGGGACGAAAGGAGTAATAATCATATTGGTTTTTGGGATGTTTATGGATTTCACCAGTTCATTATTTTTTCTTATATTAGAGGTTGATAGTAGCTGTGAGATGTTACAGTGTAAAAGTTTTCCCCTAATTATACCTTTTTTTTCAATTCCCTTAATTATATGATCTATAAATTATATATATAAAAAAAATCTGCCACGTGGGAAGGTTTCTTTAGCATTAGAAAAGCACAGTCTCGTTTGCATCACTGCTCTCGATCTAGAACAAAGAGCAGCGCACCAAGACGCAAATTGCAATAACGTTAAAAAGCTGTGTACTTATTATCTGTGTGCTTACTCGAAACCCGCCATAGCGCGTGTTCGGAGAGGAATCGGACACGAATCTCGTATCGAAGATCTTTTCGCCACGTGGTGATACCTTCGGTAATGTCGCAATTGAAAAACGGAACCTCCGTTAAACAATACCAAACTAAAATTATTAAAATAAACAAAACCATACTCAAAACAAGGTTTCCAAACCACATGCGTGTCAGGAAACGAAGGTCGTTACAACAGCTCGTGTTGGAATTCTATTGGGACACGTTGGTAGGTTACTAAAAAGCGAACACGTGGTCAGTCACAAGAAGGAGAGAGAAATATGGACGGTGAAGATCACTATCTTCGTATTCAGTACATCTACGTCATACCAACTGTACATGTCGGGTCCTTCTTGCCCTGACGGTGACGGGCAGTCCTACCCGTAATTTCAGTGTGGCCCCCAGGTGAAAACATTTCCTTTTTTTAGCGCCCTCCTTCTCTCCTTTGTTGTTTTTATAGCTCCTCCTCTGTCGTTGAAAGAACTCTCGCATTTCTTTTCGTTTGCTTCTCTCTTAATTACCTGTTAGGGCATTTGGAAATTCTTAATTAATTAATACCTAAGTTTCCGGAGGTTGTTGATTCATTGTGGGTGATTGAGTATCTTTATTGTTTTTGTTAATTTCAATTAATGGCTGGGATTTGTTGTGGATTTGTTGGTGAAAGTGAAACAACTGCAACGGTTGAGCCAACTTCGCGAGCTTCAAGGCGTAGGAGATTAGAGCTCAGACCATTCAAGTTAGTTACCGAAGTGGCAGTTCCACCGTCGACGACTTTGGATATTACTCCAGCGAAACGGCAGAAAGTCGAATTGTGTCCTATTTCTCTCTCACGTGATTGTGGTAACGCATTAGAAAACTGCAAAAGAATCGAAGAAAATAAAAACAATAGTATCTCGGATTCAAGTAAATCAGAATCTGTGAAATTGGAAGAAGTTGCTCCCAAATTCGGCATGACTTCTGTTTGTGGTAGAAGAAGAGACATGGAAGACGCCGTTTCAATACACACGTCGCTCACTACTAAAAACACGTCCTTTTTTGGTGTTTTCGACGGTCATGGTTGCTCACACGTAAGGGCGAAACACCCATCTTAAAATTGTTTCTTTTAAATTTTTTCATGTTATTTTATGATGCTGATTTTATTGTCTTGTATTTGAGTTTTTGTAGGTGGCGATGCAGTGTAGAGATCGGTTACATGAAATAGTGAAAGAAGAAATTGAAGGTTTGAAAGAAGAAAAATGTGTAGAATGGAAAAGAACTATGGAGAAAAGTTTTGCAAAGATGGATAAAGAAGTGGAGAAATGTTGTGCAGAAGGAGATAGTAGTTCTAATTGTAGGTGCGAGTTACAGACACCACAGTGCGACGCCGTTGGATCTACCGCTGTGGTTGCTGTGGTGACGCCTGAAAAGATCATTGTCTCCAATTGTGGCGATTCTCGTGCGGTGCTTTGTCGAAAGGGTGTCGCTGTTCCTCTCTCATCTGATCACAAGGTGAGGTTAAAAATTTCCTTGTCTCTTTTTTCAGTAATTATTTATGATCCCAAGTTAAGAGCTAGTTGAAGTGGTGTTTCTACTGAAAGATTTGGGCGTGCGATGTGTGGGTCAAGCTTTGAGCATTAGCTATGTTGCTAGCTGGTAGCACTTCTTAGGGATCAGCGTGTGCCCAGCACGTTTTTTAATTATTGGGATCTAATACTATTGGTACTTATGATTTAGTATTAGTGATGTTACGTATGATTTAGTTTTTGCTTTTATTTTATTTTTCTAACTTCATCTTGTCTTTGTAAATTACAGCCTGATCGAGCAGATGAATTGCTTCGAATCCAAGAAGCTGGTGGCCGTGTGATTTATTGGGATGGCCCAAGAGTTCTTGGTGTCTTGGCCATGTCAAGAGCCATAGGTAATTAACGTAGTACTTGGATCTATTAAATACTATCAAATTGAGGTGGATTTGTACTTGATTAACGTACTGTTTTTTTTTTTATTTCTTTTTTGGTTCTGTTTTCAGGTGATAATTACTTGAAGCCCTATGTGATACCGGAGCCGGAGGTGACCATGACGGAGCGGACGGAGGAGGATGAGTGTTTGATATTGGCAAGTGATGGGCTGTGGGATGTGGTGTCCAATGATACTGCTTGTGGGGTTGCGCGAATGTGCCTTCGTGCCCACAAGCAATCCTCAGTACCCGGTTCTCCTGGCAGCGAGGCTGCGTTAGGTAGTGGCGCCGTTGAGAGTTCGGATAAGGCCTGCTCAGATGCGTCAATTCTGTTGACCAAGTTGGCCTTGGCGAGGCATAGCACGGACAATGTTAGTGTTGTTGTTGTTGATTTGAAAAGAAATCAACATTAACAGTCCAAATAGCATATAAAACAAAAGTATATTTTAGATCATTTGAAGAGAGAATGAAAAAAAAATGTAGTAGTTTCATTTGGTTTTTAGTGTGGTATTTTGTAGGGTTTCCTTTTTATGAAGGAAAAAGGAAATTTTACTCCTGCTGGGATTTTCTCGAGGTTGTTGTTTGTTTACTGGGCTGAAAAAATTGGCAGGAATATGAAAAGTATATATAGTTAGATCGGGGAATATGGTTCTAAATCTGTGTATGAGAATTAAGAGGGACTTTTTATTCCTCCCAATGAATTAGCATATCAGTTCCTTCTTGTTTGTGGACAATTCTTTGTAATCCGTAATACTCTAGTCCTAAAGTTCTAGACGCCTGATAGCATCTTATGATCGAGTATGGTCGATATATAGAAGAGATGGGTATGATTTTCTGGAAAGTGAAAATGCTTGGTTTTCTGGTTTTTGTGTTTCTTCTAGTTGGAGAAGAAATGAGGGGAGGGGATTTTCAGTGACGAGTGGGATGGGGTCGTCAATAGTTGGGTTCTTTGAGCCAGGGGAAACATGTCTCCCTGCATTTTCGTCTATCGCTATGTTTTGTCAGTGTCACCGGAACAAGTTTGACAATTTTTAATTTTAATGCTACTCTTTTCTAACTATTCAGACAGTTGTTAGTTTAAAAACTCTCCTTTAATTATGATTAGTAATGTTTAAATATCCTTTCGGTAAAGGAAAAAAAATGCCATTGAGAGAGGAGGGGGGTCAACTTGGAGATAATGCGGATGTCGTGGGTGGGTGGATGGATGGATGAACATTAAGCTCCTCTTGGGGTTCATGGAAGGGCAGATGTCGCGCTCCATTATCAGATTCCTAAATTCTTGACAAGATGTGGGGGGCTCGCCTGAACACACAATCATCAGTAGACACGTAGCATCTGGTCTCAGTTTTGCATCACCAACTCTGTGCTGTACGTAGATTTGGTTTAGATTTGATGTGGATGGCATTGCCGTTGCCTGTCTCGAAGACACTCATTCGCTGATTGATTGCGTAAATTCAATTTACCTGTTCAAAAAGTAAAATCATTTTTGACTGAATTAGTGAATCAAGCGCATGATGTGTGGAATAATCTTGGCCCATTTATGTTAATCAGGGCATGTTGCTTAACTTTTGATGAATCCTGAATCCATACACGGACTAGCTAGGTACATGGGTTTTCATCGCGTTTCTTCAATCTGTACATATGATAGTACAGAGCTTACTGTTGGAGACTAGACCTATCATTGGTCGGCCATTTGCTTTGTTTTGGCTGACTCAGCATCTACTTGGGACCACAATAGGTCGAATATGTCTGGATATAAAATGATTATTTATTTTATTTAATCTAACAAATATTTATTAAAAATATTTAATAATTATTATAGTATTAAAATAAATAAAAATAAAAAATATGTATTTAATAATATTATTTTAGGATATGGATATTCATTTTTTACGTTATTAATATCTATTAATATATTTAAAATTTTTTTATTAATATATAAGAATCTAATTATATGAAATTTAAAAATTAAAGATTAAAATATTTTTTATAAAATTTTGAGGACTAAAAAAGCTTATAAAAAAATTATCAAAATGTAAAAAAAAAATTTATCCTTAAAAAAATTATGAGGATAAAATAAATATTTTTGACAAATTAAATTTAATAGATATTTAATAAGTATTACATTGCCTGATAAATTAGTATAAAAGATATGAACCGAATAAAAATTTATATGATGATTTTTTAATAGATAATAAAAAAAATTCTTTTAATGCATAAGATAAAAAATCAAATTAATAGACCGACTATTTGTCCGTTATCATTTCAAGACTACCCTTTTTCACATTTGAAAGGTGGCCAGAATGGGATCGCTGTTGCTTATATGCATAGCGTTGCTTATTTGCTTGATATGAGAAAATTTCACCTTGTGTGGTTTGTTGGTATTGCCTACGATTTAAAGCAAACTATAAAACTACACTTCAAGAGAGGGACGTTCTGCTACCTTTCTCTGCATACAAATTAATCTGCCGATGACATGAAAATTTCCGGTAATCTACAATCAAAAAGGAATATGTGAGACACCAGTGATGTGCTACCTCGGTTCACCTGTTTGAATAATGTTTTTCTGTGGTGTACGTTACTGGTTTTCACTCAGGGCCGACGGATTCAATAGCCGAATTAAATTATTATGGTTGTAACCAAAGATGAAGAATTAGTTGCTCCCAACGGAGACTAGGAAACATGCTTGTTTTGAATTAAGCGACCTTTTCTGAGTTAATTATAAATCATTCCTTCTAATTTCGAGAAGCAAATTAATTAAATTTTTAAAAAACAATTATTAAGTCTTAATGTTTTTAAATCTACATAACACTTAATTTTTTTCGTTCTTTTTTAATTTAAAACATAAAAAATTGATAAAATAACATTCTATGAAATAAAAATAATATTAAATAAATTATAGTTAGCATTGTTTAAAAAACTAAATAATAAAATTTTAAAAAATGTGAAAATAATTAATTTATTTCTTGAAACTAGATAAACTAATTTATAATTTACTGACCTTTTGCTCAACTCTTTAAACTCATCCTTGTGCAGCATTATTGTGGAGCAGACAGCGAAGGCAATAATGTGGCCCCTACGCAATGCTCAAGATGGGCAATCAATCAAATGAAAGATCAAAACCATATTAGGTTTTTATCGATATTGGGAAAATATATTCTGTTTAAAACATAGTAAAAAAAAGTATGAACAATGCTAAATGCTTAAAATTTTGTGGAGTCGGCACACAGAAGATGAACAATGGGCATAAATACCATGATTATACTAATTGAATTGCAAACAATGTGATTTCTTTAAGAAACGTTTTCAAAAACTTTGAAACAAAAAACTTATTTGTTTTGGAGTTTTTTTATGAAAAAAAAAAAAAGCAAACTAACAACCTTTGTTAGGTTTGAGAAATTTTGACAACTGATTGTCTATTTTATAAATTTTCAGAAAACAAACAAGTTTTCCGTTTTCGTTTTAGCACCAGATGGCCTTTTATTTAATACTATTTAATTAAGAGACTGATCAAGAGTGAACTTTATATCAAGCAGAAGCTATATGGAATTAAAAAACAAAGACGTTCACATTTTCTATTTGAGATTAGTATTAAGTTTTTGTTTTCTCTGCATCAAGCTAAAGTCAGCATGTTCTGATTCTCAACGGGGACAAAAGAAAAGGAAAAAAATTTAGACATCAGATGAAATGATGCCAAATTTTCTGAAGCACGTTGTCATGAATTCTGACCACAATTTCAACTGGTTTGAGCTGAAATTGACATGCTATATTAAACTTTAATTTTACGCTACCTATCATAAAAGTTCGTGCTTCTTATAGAGATAAGTAATGCTGGGAACTTGTATCGGGAATAACTGGATAAGCATTTGATCGAGATCCACGAAATGAATTATGCAGCATCAGATTCTAGTGATAAACACAAGTGATCAAAATCAAAAACTTCTGATATGTCATTGCCATTCTCTTCGGTCAAGTCATGAATAGGAATTTTTATTTTACGTTTATTAAGTACTCTTATCAGTTCAAGAAACTACACCAATTAGCATTGCTAATTTAATGAAACTTTTGATGGAAACTGATATGCCTAGAAAAAACACTCCAGACACGTATTCATCTAAAGAAGGTGTTTTTGCTACCGCCCCAAGGACCACGCAGAAACCCGGAAAAAAAAAAAAAAAAGGCTTTCACCGATGAGGGACTGCTCATTCTCTTATTATAGTGACCTGCGAACTTGAGTGTCATGAAAAAGTAGCGGCAACCGGTCTTAAATAAAAAATCATTCCACACGCAGAGAAAACAACTTACACCAGAAGAGAATATTTTCTTAGAAAGATCACCATATTGGTCAGAAAACAAATGGGCATCAGACCACCTTTACGAGGAAGAAAGACAATCCTTCCAAGAAGAAAGAACATCATTATGAGGAGAAAATTAAGACAGATTCCTCATCTCCATGCAAGACAGAATCAACAATTAATATAAAAAGAAGACCCTATATGCATAAACAAAAGAAGAGAAAGAGAGGCACCAGAGAGGAAAAACGAAGGACAAAAAAGAAAGAAAGGAGAAGAAAGAAAAGATGAAAAAGCTTCGTCGGGTGAATGCAAAAGCTGGTCAACAAGGTTCTAATCCAGAAAAAGAGAGAAAAACACCACAAGAAAAGGTAAAGAGTCTACTGCCTGCGATAAAGTCCAATCGAGACCGCAAAATGACAAATCTATCTCTTTACATCTTTTTCATCTCACAAAATACTCTCTAATCGACTAAAAGGCACTAAACGCTCTCTATTTGTCCAAGAAGCACTAAACACTTCACACAAGCTAGAGAAAAACATCATACACGATTTACATAGACATGTCTATTAAGGCTATGTTCATATCTCTTCGTACGTTAATTTAGCAATTAGAGAGTCGTCTTTAACACAAGAAAATGACTTTTTTTGCAGGTATTGTCATCAAAATCATAGATCCAAGACTCTTCATCGCCATTAGATCAGTCAAGTAAAAAGCTTGACTGTTCATTCATTAACTGAGGTTCTTCAACCTCATCAAAAACAAATATTTCTTTTTGTTGATGTCATTCTACAACCAATCTTACACGAAAAAATGAATTCATTAAAAAAAATAATAAAAATTGGCATTTCAAAAGTTTATCGGTACATCTGAATGAAAGTATAGGAGCAGTTGCCTTGATATGCTTCAACTTGTTTTTTTTTTTTTTTTTTTGCCCCAGATTCCTATACCCCAAAAAAAAAAAAAAAATCAGACTACTCCCAAAAGCTTAGCAAATCTCAAAATCATATGTTGGCAAATTCAAGTCATCATTCAAGATGCTTATTTGATGATGGGCTATTTTTTGCCGGTTCTTTACTTGGAAAAGTTATGACGGTTAGAAAGGATAAAAACTTGAAACTATTTTTTCTAACAATTAGAGATGAAGCAGCAGATGGTGGAACATGAATATAGGGAGGATGGACATCATTATAAAGAACTAAAAAGATTACAAATACAAATTGCAACAGAAGGAGAAAAACACACAATCTCAATAGTACTACTTACAAAAGACAAGCTCTCAAAGCATCCTCTCAAGTTTCAGAATACCTGAAACTTGTTGGATTATAGCGCTTATAAATAGTAAGTAGACAATAAACAAAGTATAAAATAACATTGTAAGTTGGTGGTTTGGTCTATTTGTTCCCATTTTATAGTCAAATATGTGTCTGTAAGCTCCTAAACATTCCTTAAATATTGAACTTTTACATTAACATCATGTATGGAGAAAGAGTCTCAGTTTGTAAGTAATTTTTTTCATCAATAAATATAAATTTTCTTTCAGCTGTCTTGTGTATTATTAAAATTTACAATTATACTTTTATTATTTGCATGTTGCTTGATTTCATAATTAGTAGCATAAATATAGAATATAATTGCAATAGGGTTTGAAAAGTTTAGAATGTTAGTTTAGAGTGATTATCTCTGTGAATAATTAGTTTTAAAACTTACACCTCAACTTGTCCGAACAGATTATAAACTCAAGTTGGACGTTGCAAATTGATGTTTAATTTGTTTAATTTAGTTTCATATAAGAAAAAAACAAATAGTATTATGATAATAAATATTAAATTACATAAAATAGTGAATTAACTTCCTAAAAATTCGAGTTTAGAAGTCGGTTTGCTTCATAGACAACCATTCAAACTCTTGTAATAAAAATTTTCGAAAATCAAAGACGCACACAGAAGAACCCCTGTACAAATGTAAGGGATATATGCGATTAACTTATCTGTAATTTGAGATCGAATCTTTTTCTTTAAACGATATTAAAAATGCTCCATTTTAACCACATCGTTTATCCTCTAGAATTACTTCAATTTGTATAGCATGCATTCAATGTTGAAATTTTTTGACAGGCTAAATTAGAAATTGGTGGGCATATGGTGACCCAAATGTACTATGGATCTAAAGGATTCCTCGAATGAGCGATACAAATGCCGGTTCTTTTGGCAGAAACGATGCAAATATTATCGTTTAAGGTAATTCTCTGTATCGACATTTTCCTTATCTTTTCGGAGGTTTCTCATGTTGTACTGCAGCGGTGATCCATGTCTCCACGTGGGTCCCTTTTTTTTTTTTTTTTTTAATTAAGAGAACTCATGCCCAGAATACAAACAAACTGAATTCGAAGCACGCGGGGGCAATGAAAATGCAGTTTCATTTAGGATATGTTTGTTTGGAAAAAACAAATTGTTGGAACTTGTTTTTCCTATTTTCTAATGTTTATTTTGTATTTAGAAAAAAAATCAACGAAAAATGATAGAGTATTTTTGAAAAAATATTTTCTCAATTTCAAAAAAGGAAAATATTTTCCTTCTCACGAGCTTCCTCGCTTTTGCATTACTTACCTCTCTCACGATATATTTTAACAATTTTTTTCTCTATCTTCTTTTTACTTAAAATATATCAAATTAATTTTTAATTATTCCTTATCAATTATTATTTAATTATTTTATTTATTTTACTAATATTTGATTTTTTGATTTATAGATACATTAAATATTTTTAAAAATTATTTTTATACCTTAAAATTATTTTTATAATAAATATTTTAATAATTTATCTTTATTTTTTTACTATTATCTCAAACGTCACATAAATTATACTTAAATGATTGAAAATGATTATTACAAGGCCATAACTTTTTGTACAAAAAATTAAAATTAATTAGTTCATCAATAAATATATTATTTTTTCAATACTATTCATTTGCAATTAAATCAATAATTTATAATTTTAATCAATTGTAAAATTTTGTTGGTAATTATAGTAAATAATTAGTTACAAATTATTCCAACATTAATCTTTTGAGACCAAATGAATAATTATCTATAAATGATAACTAATAATTTATAAAAATTATTTTTTTAGACTAAATTATCAGTTTAATTTCTTAAAAAAAAAAGAATTTTTAATTGAGTTACCAAAATAACAATGCTAGGATTACTTAGAATCTTTTTTTTTTTTTTACTAAATGTGAATATTGATTTAATTTTGTCCCAAGTAATTTTGATGAATTGGTTTCATGATTAAAAAAGTACATTTTATTTTTTGAATTAAAATTTTAGAGTTAGTATTCATGAAAATTTTATTAAATTTTTCTAAATATATCTTATATTGTGAGATTATGAATATTTTTTTAAAAAAAAATTCTCAAAATTTATTGATATAATGATCACATATATTTTTATATTTTAATTTTCTCGTATCAAACAAACGTCTGGAATATATTTTCAGCAATTTTTTTATATAATTACCAAACGACGTGAAAATATGTTTTTAGAAATCAATTTTCTAAAAAATAGCTTCCTTAGGAATTGATTTTTTCATAAAATTTATTTTTTCCTAAACAAACACAGCCTTAAGCAAAACTATTAAACAAATAAGTGCTATGAAAAGGATAACCTAAATAATGTGTACATGTAGGTAGCTAGGAATGTAATTTTCACTTCGTCATTGTCAATATCAATCTGCCCGTTTTAGACTCTAGCTGACTGGCTCGTGTCTTTTGAACCAAATGCTACTATGCTCAAGGATATGTTACAATTTTATTTTTTTAATTACCCGGCAATTACTTTATCAAGTTAACGCTCCGAACCTGAGAGATGCTCGCTTTTCGACAGCCTTGCGACAGCATATTCCGCATTCTCACTTCTTTCCACAAACTTTTTTAAATAGAATTCTTTTTTCGGGAGAAAAGGAAAAAAGGTGAGAACCTCTGTAGTAGTCATTGACAAAAATAACCATGGATCAGATTTGAAATAACTATGTAATGTATTGTTTTACACACATATATAAATGAGATTACTTTATATTTGGTATTTATTTTTTTATTCGAAAGTTCGAATTTTTATTTTTTCCATCTGAATGTGAGATTTATCAAAAAAAAAAATTTCAATTTAGTTAACTTTCTCGTCTATAAGCCATCTTCTCTGTCTAACTTTCTTACTTGGTTGCAGATGGAATTCAAATTCTCTCTCTCTCTCTTTCTTTCATTTGGGATCCACACTACGATGCTAATTACATTTTGTTTGACTTTTATGTCAAACTAGTTTGAATGCCTTAAAACTATTTCTATGTTTTTATTCGATCAAAATTGGAAAAACAATTTAGTAATAGACCAGAAAATAAATGTATTTTGATGCTATTTTAATTTAAAAGACAGCAGTTTTAATTTTAATTGATATAAAAATTAATTTAAAAATGCTCTACTATTTAAAAATATATATTAAAAAATCGTAAAAAAAATATAGAAAGGGCTGGTGATTTAAAACAGGGATACAGCAACTTTTTGTTGTTTGATGTGTTGTTAAATGTTTATTTTATTTATTGACATGTTGCTAATGTCTTTGACAAGAGTCATGGCTTGTTATGTTATTATTAAAAAAAAATTGGGAAAAAATGAAAAATTGAGGACATTTTGAGAACAAAGACTATTGTTTGAAGACACGTGGAGAAAATTATGAATTATGAACGTACTTGAAGTCACAACAATTTACTCAAATTATTATCATTTTTTTATTAGTATTATTTGTTTCTCCGAGTCAAGAGGGAATTCAAAATGGAGAAAACATGGGTTACATCCCACAATTACCAAAGTACTGAACTCCAATACCCTGACGCTTCCTTCTCCTTTTACTCCAATCCATCCCAACATTAAAAGGCTAAATTGTAAAATCTCTTTAAATTGGAGTAAGAACATAAATAACTCACTAAACTAATTTTTTTAAAAAACAATATAATTTTTTAATGTGTTTATTATGTTAGAGTTTAATTGATAAGTTGATAAAAATCATAAAAAATCCTTCAATTTTTATCATTTTTTCCTATCAATTTAAAAAATATATATGTTTACTAATAGAAAAACAAAAAGAGTTGAGAAGATTTTTAATAGCTTTTCAATCAATTTCTAAAAAAAATATTTAAAAAATAGATAAATTCAAAAATTTTATTATTTAAAAAGTAAATTAGTTTTAGTTTAACAATATTCCTAAATTGAATGAAAAAACAATTTTTTGTTATATAAGAAATGATAACAATAGTAGAATGAAGGGAAAGATGATAGAAAAATAAATTCACTATAAAAATGAATGCAAGAGATAATAATTTCAAATAACCTCTCAGTTTCTACCAAATACTTGTACACAAACTAATAAACAATTAAGCTTATTTATAGGCTTCAAGATTAGGAAGAAAATTCAAAGGGATTATAAACCATTAAAAGATGTATAAATAATTGAATAAATTGCATTATCCTATCAATTTCTCACGAGTGAATGATGAATTGATCACATAAGTAATGAGAATATGAAATGAACATTCATTATTTTATAACACTCCCTTTTAAAAGTTCATTGTACAAGGAACATGCTTCATTAAAACCTTACTAGGAAAAAACCCAACGGGAAAAAATCATAGCGAAAGAAAAGGAGTATAATATTCCTTACGGACATTAATTTCAATGTTGGACTCCTTATATGAAAAACATTATTTAAGATCTTTAAGACGATGAATCCGAGTCTTATGAACTATTTTCTCAAAGGTTGTGATAGATAATGCCTTAGCGAATAAGTCCGTCGATTGTCACTTTGATATATTCTTCCTTTAATGGAATTATGCAAGCAACATTATCTTCATATAATATTGTTAGAGCTTATTTGTTGATAGATAAACTACATGTCTATCGCATATGATGGATCTTTGATCTTAACCAAGCACATTCGAAACTTGACTCATAAATTGGTATTTCTTCATGGCAATTTAAATATCCAATGGCTATACTTTGCTTCATAAATTGTTATGACATAGCTATATCACCAAGTGTAAATACATAACCCATTTATGATCGAGTTACGTATGAATCAGATAAATAATCCGCATCTATATAATCTATTAAACTTGATTTAGATTTATTTGAGTAAAATAAATATCATATCAATTTTTCCTTTGAGATAATGTAGGAAATGTTTAATTCTATTCTAATATCGAGCAAAACTTATATCTTGCTAATAAATTAATAGAAAAGACGATATCATGCCGATTGTTATTAGCAAGATATATCAATGCACCAATTGCACTTCGAGATATGGTACTTAAAGATTAAATAATTATTTATTATCTTCTCGAAGTCAATAAAAGGATCTTTTTGGATATCAAGTAAACGAACTATCACCGGGCTAATCAATGGACGAGCTTTATATAGAATCATTGTAGAACTTTTTCAATAAAAATCTTGTTCTTTAAGTGCTCGAAGCTGTAGTCAAGATAAAAGTTTATTTTTTTCAAGGTATTTCATATCAAATCCTCCTTTTAGATAATTTATAACACTTGGAATCTCTTCGGGAGTTCTAATAATATTTAAATTATCAACATATATAACAACTATCCCAAACCCCTTTTCGAATTTTTTTTATAAAAACACATGAATAAATATAGTTATTTTTATAACCTTCTTTCAATAAATATCTATTGAAAGAATTATATCACATGTATATAAGTTAGTAATAAAATGTGGATATTGAAAAATAAAAATAAATAAATATAAAAAGTATAACATAAATTGAATTTATAAAAGCTTAAATAATAAAATTAATACTAAAATAATCCTAATAGAGATATTTAAAATTTAATTGAATTAATTTCTTGAGAATATATATCACATGCTTCGGGCATCTTAAGTCATTCTAGGACTTTCATGTAGATATCATTTTCTACTAAATAAATAAGTTATGATCACATTCATTAAATGCATGCATATAAATTTTTTCATATATTTTTTTCAAACTAATGAGATAATGAAGTATAATAGCATCCATTTCAAGAGAATATGTCTTTTCTTAATCAATGTCAAGTTTTTGCAAAAACTCGTGTGTTATAAGTCTTGCTTTGTATCTCACAATCTCATCTTTTTTATTTTATTTTTTTA